GGAATTAATCCCATATGTTCTGTTGTTCACTTAATGCGGATTTCACTTAACACAGGACCCTCTGGGTTCAATTGACCGCGTTAAGTGGGGTACAACTGTATTTAATTAAATTAAGCAAACTTATCTTAGAATTGTAACCCAGAGAATCAGACGTCTTGGTAGCTCAAAGCAACCATTCAACTTGGAGTTAAAAACAATGATGCAACAGTAAGTCTTACTGGTGAAGAAAATTTAAAAGAACAAATCAACTCTGTTTGAAAAAAGGGTGTAACCTGTTGGTGCACTTTATCAGAGCTTATTAACCAAGGAATGAACAAATGGGGTAGTGTAGTTCAGGTATCTCACAAGTCAAGTTTCTTCCCCTCAGCTAAAATGTGGAACTTTATATCTGAAGTATTGAGGACAACCTTTAACTTTATACTGTATGGGTCTCACTTTTTAGTATGAATTCTCATATGCTTATCTAAGTAGGATTTTCGTAAAAAGTCTTTAAGACACAATGGACACTGGTGTGGTTTCTCCCCTGTGTGAACCCTCACATGTCTTGCGAGATCAGATTTTTGGGAAAAATCTTTAAGACACTCGGGACATTGATATGGCTTCTCTCCGGTATGAGTTCTCATGTGTATTACTAGAACAGACTTCCGTGAAAAGTGTTTAAGACACTCGGAACACTGATATGGTCTCTCTTTTGTATGAACTCTCTTGTGTGTGACTAGATTATATTTACGAGAAAATTCCTGAAGACATTCTGAACACTGGTATGGTTTCTGCCCTTTATGAACTCTCATATGTGCTGCTAGATCAGATTTTTCGTTAAAGATTTTAGGACACTCCGAACACTGATATGATTTCCCTTCATGAGCTTTCATGTGTGTTACTAGACTAGATTTTCTTGAGAATCCTTTAAGACACTCAAAACACTGGAAGGGCCTCTCTCTTATGTGAACTCTCATATGCTTCACTACATCAGATTGATCAGAAAAGTCTTTAAGACACTCAGGACACTGATATGGTTTCTCTCCTGTATGAACTCTCATATGTCTAACCAGATTAGATTTTTGTAGAAAGTGTTTAAAACATTCCGAACACTGATATGGTCGCTCTCCTGCATGAGCTCTCATATGTACAACTAAAGCAGATTTTTGTGAAAATTCTTTCAGACACTTAGAACACTTGTATGGTTTCTCACCTGTATGAACTCGCATATGTGACATTAAATCAGAATTTTGTGCAAAATCTTTGAGACAAAGTGAACACTGATGCGGTTTCTCTCCTGTATGTACTGACATATGTCTTGCTAAATGAGACTTGCGTGCAAAGTTCTTTGAACAATTTGAACACTGATAAGGTTTTTCTCCAGCTTCAGCCCTCATTGTGCTGCTGGAGATTTTTATAAGATTTTTGGAACATGAATTGGGTTTTGGGTTTTTCAACAATGCAGATTCTTGTAGAGTATGTTTTAGCATATAACACTTTTTAAACAGTTGTTACAGCATTGAACAGTAGAATGATTTTCTTTGATATACATATGTATAAACTGTCATGGACCAATGATTTTTTTTTTAAAATCTGTATTACATAAAAATCTACCTTGTGTATAGTTTATTTTACAAGATCAAATTTAGGTGAAAAATCTTTAAAAGACTCCATAAAATAATATAAATAATTCGTTTATGAACTCGACACTTTTGTATACTGTACTGTATAAGCTTATATGCCAACAAACAATATAGTTGACTTTCTTAGTGATTTACTATACTTACTGGCAGCAGAGTAATGAAACAAGTCCTCATTATATTTTTTAGCTATGTTACTATTGTGTATTACTGTATTATTAAAGTGGATAGTTTGAAGACCCTTAGTATGAAATTGTAACTATAAAAACATAACAATGATGGATAAGGAGAGAGAAATGTATTGTGGTATTACTGATATTTTTTGAGTCCTGAATGAATGTACGATGAGAATTTGAGGAAATAGAAATTGAAGCAAGTATGGACTATGATGTAAACCGTACTAAAACTTGTGTTATTTGGTTAAGGAATAGATCCTATAGGGCACTGTGTATGTAAATACAGGATCGTGTATACTACATATAATTACTGTAATATACGAAAAAGAAAAATTACAGTACAATATCCAATTTCAGCAAGCACATAGTAAAAAGAAATATATATAAAGTGTAAAACTTCCTCATCTCTCTATTCAGTACTGTACTGCAGTTCCTGTCTTCACTTCTTTCACATGTGAGTCTCTGATGTTCTTGATTGGTAATAAGACAAATATCTTGTGTTAATCTCTCAGTATGGGTTTATAACATATTTACACAGGGACTGTTTTTTCATATATTTTTGTGATTAACAAAACTTAGTTTATGTACATTATACTTAATTATTGCCAGCAATATACTGTAGAGTGTGTTGCTTGTACTATACAGTACTGTACTGTATACCCATTTGTTACTTGTCCTCCAGCTCTTTCTGTTGGGAGAAAAATCAAGAACAAATTAACCATTTTACACTTAACATATTAATGTAAGATTATAATCTAATAATAAAAAAAAAAAAAAAATTATGACCAAAAAATACAGGATATATATATATATATATATACATATATATATATATATATATATATATATATATATATATAAAATATAAAATATATATATATATATATATATATATATATATATATATATATATATATATATATATATATATATATATATATATATATATATATATATATATATATATATATATATATATA